TATAGTTTTTGTGCTTCCTATTGTCTAAATCCTGTAAACAGTTGTCTCATACATTTTGTTTTATGCTTGCTCATGGTGGGAATGCTTGTTTGGCATCATTTACTCCATGATTTTTGTTAGGAAAAGCTGGCCTTACTGTTGTTAAGGCATTCACTTCCTTTAGTCTCAGTTTTATGTGTACATACATGTTTACTTTCTTTACCTTGTGTTTGTATAGCATTTCTTCCTTTTGTAGTTTCTGAATTTTTTTTTTTTTACTAACTCAGCTTCTTCCATAGTACTTTTCCAAGTATTCTTTTTTATTTTAAAAAATATTTTTATTGATTTTAAAGAAGAAGGGAGAGGGAGAGAGAGAGATAGAAACATTGATGATGAGAAATAATCATTGATTGGCTGGTGCCTGCACTCTCCACAGTGGGGATGGAGCCCGCAACCCGGGCATGTGCCCTGACCAGGAATTGAACCGTGACCTCCTGGTTCATAGATTGATGCTCAACCACTGAGCCACACCGGCCGGGCCCTAAGTACTCTTTTTTAAATGGAGTGTTTTGATGTTGATTAAAATAAAATGTTGCAGAATAGTGTTAGAAAATTAATATCATATCTTCGGAATGTTAATTACACTGAAGATCTCAAGATCATTCTCTTTGAAGGAAGTGGTTTTTGCTTTCACTGCATATATGAATTGGTGTCCCGTGCATCTTAATAATTCAATTTCATAGACTAGTAGAAAGAACATGAATTAGAAAATCTAGGTTCTAGTTTTGCAATAGACTGGCCAGTTCTGGCCAGCCACTTAACTTTGATCTGTTCATTTGATAGAATAGATAATTTTTAGCCCCCTTCTTAAAATTTGGGTAATTTAGTTAATAGTTATTGAGAAAAATCAATAGTTTTAGTCTTTTCTTTGTTCTTACATTATTAATAAAACTCATAAAATTAAAATTTTAGTTATTTTTGTTAGCTGTAATTTTCTTTTCCAATATAGTGAAGAGTGCTGATCACCCTATTTACAGAATTTGAGCACTTCACTATAAATTGGTTATTTATGGCTGCAATATATATTTTCTGGTTTGACCAAAAATGACACTTCGTCACTTTAGTCTTTAAGATCTAATGTGTGCTAATATAATCACTTTCTGTTTATTCTCTTATAGAATGTAAGTTAGTGTTATAGTTCTTAAAACTGTGATTTTTGCTCAGTTGGCATGGTTTAGCAGTTGAGTGTCATCCTATGAACTAGGAGGTCATGGTTCAATTCCAGGTCAGGGCACATGCCCAGGTTGCAGGCTCGATCCCCAAAGGGGGGCATGCAGGAGGCAGCTGATCAATGATTTTCTCTCATCATTGACGTTTCTATCTCTCCCTGTCCCTTCCTCTCTGAAATCAATGAAAATATATTAAAAGAAAACTGATTACTAAATATTTAGTACTTAGGTTATTCATAATGTTTCTTTTTGTATGTGTATAAGGAGCCCTATCCCCATGTGGCTCTTCTCTAATGGTTTTTCTATACTGGGAATTCTTTTTTAAGATTAATTTTATCTGCTGACTACTTCTCTCTTTCTGTCCATATGTATTTATATATTTACATTTACATATTTTTCTGTCTTAGAGGAAAACATATATGTATGTATGTATGTATTTTTCTGTCTTAGAGGAAACCTTTTGTCAGGTTCTGCCTTTGCAGGTATTAGAAAGTTTCATAGGAATTCTGGCGTCATTGATGGGCACCCTTTAGGATCTCTTTCACTGGAAGTTATATTATCAAATTTGTATTCTATGTTAAACAGGTAATTCGATTTCAGTCAAGGGCGCAGGCCCGGTCGTGGGCTTGATCCCCAGTAGATGTTCAAATTTATTTGTTAAAATGCAAATTAATTTATTCTGCAAGAACCTGAAACAATAGCACTTTCCTTTAGGGATCTATAATTAAAAAAGCATAATATGTTAATTAGACCGGACAGCCAAATGACCTGCTCAACGACCTTCCAGATGTCCTACCAAACGACCTTCCAGACGAAGCTGGGGCTGCGAGGGCCGAGCCAACCACCGCAGCTGCAAGGGCCGAGCCCCTTGTACGAATTTGTACATTGGGCCTCTAGTATAAACAGAGACAGAATTAATTTACTTTCTCATTGCCTTTTTTCTGCTGTGGGATTAAAATGTTATGTGTAACAAACATGTAATGATAGTTTGCCTGAGTTTGAACCCTAGGTTTGCTACTTACTTTTAGCTGTGAAAATTAATAAATTTTTTAAGCTTTTTTTTGTTTTGTTTATCTCTACGAGGGGTTTACCAGTAGTATAACCTCTCAGGGTTACTGTGAGGATTAGATGAGGCATAGTTCAAGTAAGTTTAAGGAATCAGGTAAATAGAGTAAAGTTATATTTAGTTTAATATAGATAATCAACTATATAGTGTTATTTTCAGTATTCTAAATGCCAAAAACACGCAGTTTTTATGTTAAGTTTCAGGAGTCTTTTTGGCAATTTACTTCCTGCTTACTTAGCAAGTAGTGCCTGAGATAGTAAATAGAGAATAATTGAATGTAAAGTTAACCTAGTGATTTTAATGGTTTTCTTTAATTTAAAATGTGTTAAGTCTAGCCCTGGCAGGTGTGGCTCAGTTGGTTGAGCCTCTGGTCCCATGCACAGAGAGGTCACCAGTTCAATTTCCAGTCAGGGCAGGTATAGGAGTCAGCTGACGTATGTTTATCTCTCTCATCAGTGTTTCTCTTTCTCTCTCTCTCTCTCTCCCTCCCCCTCCCTCCCTTTCACTCTCACTCTAAAATCAGTAAAAACATTAAATGTGTTAAGTCTATTTTCAAAGAAATGGAATGAGACTCAAGTAATTCATTAGTTGCTGGTGTCTACTAAAAAATACAAGTTTGCAGTTTTTCTCATACACTCAATAAATTTTCCCTGCCACTGATTCCCAGTCTTGTCTTATCCTAAGAATCATCTTGGGTTCCTATTTAGAGTACAAATTTCTGCACTCTACCATAGATCTTTGGAGGAAGGACCTTGCATTTTATGCTAAGAGAGTCTTGTGCTCAAGCACTTTTGGAAAACACTGCTGGATATACAGTAGTGAATGTGGCACACTTGGTTACTGCCCCCCTTAGTTTTATAGTGTTTTAGTTCTTTTGAGTCATTGAAAGGAAATTAGTTTTTCTTCTTTATAAA